TATATATATATATATATCCTGTACGTATATAATAACGTGTATATAATATAATAATGTTTGTATAATATGTGAATTCTACTTCCAGGTTCCTTTGAACATCGTGGAGAAGGTCGTGACCGTTGGACTGCAGGTCAGGTTTTACTCTGCAGGATGTTTTGTCCTTCAGTTTGTTTCTATAATGTCAACCGTGTAAATGAATAATAATACCTGTATTATAATAATACCTGTGTATAATAATATACATATATACTGTATGTATTAGATGTGTAATAATACTAATATGTCCCAGTGTTGATGACCCTAACACCGTCTTCTTCCTGTTTCTCCTCCAGCTGTCTTCCTCTTCATCACTCTAGCAGCCATCTCTGTTCTGCTGCTGGTTTCTCTGGTCGTCATCACGCTGAGACGTCACCGTCTGACCTGCCGTCCGTCTTCCATCAGGTAACATTTAAACATTTCCCCTCTTAACAAAAATCAAAGATGATCTACATCGATGGAACTCTATTTCTTTCCTCGGACTCAGCCATAGAATTGACTCTGTAAAATTGAATATTCTTCCACGATATCTGTTCTTATTTCAAGCACTTCCTGTAGAAATTCCCGCAAAACAATTCTCTGAATTGGATAAAATCCTTTAAAGATTTATGTGGCAAGGGAAAAAACCAAACTCTACAACTCCCAAAAGAGGAAGGAGGAATGGCTCTACCCAATGTCAAGGATTACTTCTATGCTGTCCAGATGAAACCCTTATTTAACATGTTTATTAACATAAGAGGAAAATGGATGGATGGATGGATGGATGTGATGATTGATTAATGGATGACATGATTGACTGATTGATGGGTGACATGATTGATGGACGATTTGATTGATGGACGATTTGATTGATGGATGATATGATTGACTGATTGATGGATGGTATGATATGACTGATGGATGTATTGATGATATTTGTCTCTCTCTGCAGTGATAAGGAGGAGCTGCTTCAAGATCCAGATGAGTCCTCTCTGGAGTCTCTGGCCGTCCCAGAGAGCCCCAAACTGGACGAGGCCTGAGAAGAGGGTCCGGGGCCCACAGAGGTTCCTGGGCCCACAGAGGTTCCTGGGCCCACAGAGGTTCCTGGGCCCACAGAGGGTTCTGGTTTGATCTTAAACCTGCTATAATCTGGATTATTTTAATCATACCTTCAGATTCTAAACACAACTGTTGGTTTCTCGTTTTTAAGCTTTGCTTCTGTAGTGTGAACGTTGATTCAATGATAAGTTAGGAAACACAAAATTAAATGATGATTTAAATGACATTAAACTTTAAACATTTGAAGTCATTTCTTAAGTAAATCCTCTAATTATTTTTAGTGTTTCTATAAAGTCTATTCTTTTAATAATCGTAAATGATTTGTGTTTGTTGTACTTTGACAAAATCAGCAATATGAAGGCGTCACTTTGATTCTGGTGACTTTTATGTTGTAGGGGTTAAACAATTAAATATGTAGTCAAAAGTGTGTTTTTTATTAGGTTTAATGTTAACACCATCAGTGTAAATTAAAAAGTAATCAGAGGACGCAGCAATGACATTCACTGGAGCCTGCTTTTCCCATGATGCAACACGATGGCGTCTTTCATTAGAGCCTCGTCAGCTGCTCACTTATTTATTACCTGATGGGTTTAGTTACTGGTTAAACAGCTGTTTTTATTATTAGGAGTTTATGTATCAGGAGTCCTGTTTCATGCAAATATTAGTTTCATATCAAAAGTAAATGCACACATCTATTAAAATGAATTTAAAGAAATCTTTCATGATAATTAGGATAATTAATTATCCTTATTAGTTAATAGTCAGTAGTAAATCATTTTATTAATTTTTCTTTGGAGAAATACATTGTTTTGATATAAACTGACTAATTTTATCTGTAAATCAGCAGCATCATGTTGTGTTTTATAATGATAGTTACAGCATAAACATTCAGATTATTCAATAAGATGTAATGATGTTTGATGTGTTTGAACTGAAGATCTGAGGTCACTCTGTACTCAACCGTCTCAATAAAACTTTAACACCTCGTTTACCGTTTGTTTACATCCACAAAAGCAAGTTAATCTTTCAACACAGAGAAACATTAATTGATCATACAGTTAGTATATGTGTGTATATATATGTATGTATGTGTATATATATATATGTATGTGTGTGTATATATATGTATGTGTGTATATGTGTATATATATGTATGTGTATGTATATGTATGTGTATGTGTATATATATGTATGTGTATGTGTATGTGTATGTATGTGTATGTGTATATATGTATGTGTGTGTATGTGTGTATATATGTGTGTATATGTATATATGTATATGTATATATATGTGTGTATGTGTGTATATGTGTATATATGTATATGTGTATATGTATATATATGTGTGTATGTGTGTATATGTGTATATATGTATATGTGTATATGTGTATATGTATATATATGCTATATGTGCTAATATGTACATCACACATCATGTTTGAGTTGGTGGGTGTGCGGCTCACTTCACCTCGCTGTCCAGTTAGACTTTTAAAGTGTGATGACGTCACAGTTTTTCTCAACTTGAGGAAAGTTTTACAAACAAAACTTCAAGCTTCAAAAATTCAGTCATATTTGAGCTTGTTTGCAGTTTGAGGCCTCAGAGCGTGCAGTAGCGTGAGTGGCCACTAGATGAATGGAAACAAGGCTCAGCAGTGGCACCATAGACATCCATCTACCAGCTAAAGGAACGCACTAATAGGCTGTCAATATTCATATTCATTCATTTACACATCCATACATGTGTAAATGTAGGCTACCCTGAAGTGTACACTTTAGATAAATTGTTCAAAGGTGCAACGTTTTTTTAATCTTCGTCGCTTTGGTCCTACTACACTTGAGCCATCTCCTAATAACCTCATTATGAGCCACAGCTACGGATGTGTTTCTATGGTGTAATAATACACGTATTCATATTAAACCGTTCGGTACGAGGCTTACGAACTGAACAATACGTTTAAATAATACTAGTGCATTTGGAAAATGCAGAAGCTTAAATTGTGGGAAATATAATGTTTTCGGTGGACTGCGCTCACGTAGGAAACAACGGGCTGTGACCTCTGAACCCGGAACAATAACAAAAAACTGCTGAGGCGGCAGCACCGCACATGTCTTCGGGTAGGCTAAGCTAACTAGCTTAGCGGGGAAACAACAGCCCGAACGGATTCAATTGTCCGGACAATTGAAAAGAGCGACTTTTGTTCGCGCAAGAGTGAATTCTGCTGGCGGAGTGACGTAAAAGCGCTCGTCAAAGTAAAATACGCGCACTGCTGTTTGATTTTCGCGCGCGCATGGATCTCATTTGCGCTCTCGGATTTTGACAGTGATTTGCCTTCATAGCTGCTGTTCACTTAAAGACAAAGTCCATCCTCCTTTCTTTGTGAACAAAGAGTTTAATACCACGGTTGTACAGAACATCGGTGTGGGTCAGTTCCAGCCAGAGTCCTCCTGTGAACATGTTCGTTGAGTTGTAGATCCACTCGGGTCTCTCCAAAAGTTATCAAAAGCACGTAGCTTGTGCGTGTCCTGTCGTGTAGCTGCCTTGGTTAGCATAGCGTAGCTCCAAACACCAAGAGCTCAGTTGCAAATGAAACGCATTCTTAGCCATAACTTGTGCAATGCTTCTCCGACGCCGTCAGCCAGAAATACCGTTCGTACAAATCCTTTTCCATGCTGGGTCAGGGCTGCCAGCTGTGGGGTTGGCCGACCCTTTGATACGATGTCCAGTTTTTCTGTAAATGTCCTTCTACAGCCATTGAGTGTTCAAAAAACACAGCTAGGTAAAAAGAAAAGAATCTACAGCAAGCAAAACGCTAAAAATGTCATAATAATATGACATTATGACATAATAATGTCTTCTCTTACATATGTTTCAATCTGAACTCTTACTAAACACTAAGATCTGCTAGCTAGCTTTCTGTTTGACAAAAGTAACGCTGGCCCACTGACCAATCACGGCGCACGTTAATGCAGACGTACTTATAGCAGGCTACCTGGGTACCACTGGCACGTCAAAGAATACGCCCAACATGTCAAACTAAAGACCTGATTGGTTGAACACTATGACAATCAACAATATCGTCCCCATTCACTTAAACTGCAAAGGGATTCACTTGTGAGTCTGCAGGCCTCTGCCTCTGTTCTTACCTAGAGACACAGAGGTGAGATCTGATTGGATAAAAGCTCTACTTAAAACAAGCTGCACTGGAAGCAGAGCAACTGAGGAAGACAGTAGCTGTGCAATGAGAACATAAGATAATGGGAAAAATATGTTTATAAATTATAATACATGTAGTGTATTTATGAAACATTATTAAGTTATAAAATAGCTATAACTTTGTGATTCTGTCTAGGCCAGCAGAGAAGGCCTTGCTGGCCCTGACGGCTCACCACTGGAAGACTGTAAACAATAAGACCACAACATACTCATAATAATAATAACAATATAAAACACGTTTCATCACGTCTTTGTCGAAGGTTATATGTCCCGCCCCTCCTCCACTATGATTGGACGGCAGTGACAAAACTGCACTGTCCATCGAGGTGAAGGAGAAGTGGTGAGGAAAGGGCATAGGACATAGGATGTAGTGTTGTGAGAAGGCACACAGCAGAAAGAGCATCTTATCCCACGTGCGCCCAGGACTGTGTGGTCCCACTGGTATTTAAACATGACGTCATATTCGTGCGACAATCCCGGAAGTGTGTGTCGGAGCCAAAATGTCGCAGAGTTGGAAGGAGGCGGCTGATGATGTCGGTTAAGAAGAAGAAGAAGAAGAAGAAGAGAACCCGGACCGTGTATCACAGAGCACCGTGACACAAACACGCGGACTGTTAACGAGGTTACCGGAGAAGAATAACGGAGCCACAGTTAATTAGATGCTGTAAGTTTAACGCACTGAGACGGTCTGCAGCTAGTGGCTAACGTAGCATGCTAACATGTCGAGTCACGGGGACAAACACCGCACTGAGAGCGCGTCAAAGATACGCGACATGTTGTTTATCCTCCAGTTGATTTAATGTTATCGTAGAGAAGACCGCGCCTGTTAGCATGTTAGCCTCACCGTGTTGGTTCCCTTTAGCATGTACGCCTGTTAGCATGTTAGCCTCACCATGTTGGTTCCCTTTAGCAACACATGCTAACAGAGAGAAGCTATCAGCAGCTATGTGATACTTAACGATATAACCTGCTCGTTAATTAATGTGCCACTGTGTGTTTACAAGTTGAACGTTTACAGATTAACTTTGTTTTCTGTATCCAGCTACGTGACGACATGGAGACATATTCTAACATTAGTTTACATGTTTTACTACATTATAGGATTTATGATCATAGTAAATACAGACAGATATATTTTAGATTATTTATTGTTTACATTGTGTTGATTAGCAGAACAAAACAGACTAATACAATTCTGTCTGTTTGTCTCTCTGTCCGTCTGCCTGTCTCTTTCTCTCTCAGGTGTCATGGCTGAGCGGAGGTGTGAGTGTTCGTGGAAGAGACACATCTCGGAGCAGCTGAAGGTCAGAGACCGAGTTCAGAGACAAGCCTTTGAGGAAATCGTCCTCCAGTGTGAGTCTCACCTCCTGTCTCGCTCTCTCACCTCCTGTCTTACTCCCTCACTGTCTCAGACACTGTCTCAGACACTGTCTCAAACAGACACACAGTCTGTCTCAGTGGGGACAGACAGTTGAATGAACTGTCTGTCTTTCTGTGTTCAGATAACCGTCTTCTGGAGAAGTCAGACCTGCAGACTGTTCTGTCAGAAAGATACCAGACGGACAAGTATGACGTCCAGAGAGGACACGAGGCCAGGTGAGTCCTCAACTTCCTATCTCCTTTATGTGTCCCCCTTTGTTACGTGTCCCCCTTGTTACGTGTCCCTGTCTCACCCTCAGCTCGGGGACAGACGGTCGTAGTGACGTCCTGCAGCAGGAGATGTCTCAGATGAGAATCAAACACCAGGAGGAGCTGACGGAGCTGCACAAGAAACGAGGAGAGGTGGGCCACTGCATCACACACAGGAAGTGATGTCACTGCATTAAAAGCAGCAGCTCCACTGACGATAGTCATGTCTGATGAACTCCACATTTAGAGGATTGTTTGTTCACATTTTTTTCATATTTGAGATGTTTTTGTAAACGATGTCATTTTCTGTCGTTGTGTTGAGACTGAAATCTGACCTGCATGACATAATTAACTAACCTTAACCAACACTTCTTGTTGATCTTTGTCCTCCAGCTGGCTCAGAATGTGATCGAACTGAACAACCAGATTCAACTGAAAGACAAAGAGATCCAGAGCAATGAGGCCAAGTAGGTACACACACGTGTGTGTATATACAGTGGGTACGGAAAGTATTCAGACCCCTTTAAATTTTTCACTCTGTTTCATTGCAGCCATTTGCTAAAATCAAAAAAGTTCATTTTATTTCTCATTAATGTACACTCAGCACCCCATCTTGACAGAAAAAAACAGAAAT